GATTATTTATGTTTCCAGGAACCCCAAGGATGTGCTGGTTTCTTACTACCACTTTTCCAAATACATGAACATAGTAGAGGAAGTTCCAGATTTTAATATTTGCATGGAGAGGTTTTTAGCTGGCAAAGGTAGGATATCTTTCTTACTTAAGGAGTCCAAATCTTGGCCCATGCCCTCAGATTGAATAGAGATTCATTTTATCAATAAATAACAAGTACCCAGAACCCTCAGCTATGCTGTAACCTGGATTCAAAGCTGCAGAGGCTGCCTGAGCTTAGCACCATTTTCTGATTAACTTGGGTCCAAAGGTGGTAGCATAGTCAAGGCGTTGCTGCTCCCCAGCAACGTGCAAACTGCTTGTCTCATCTGCGTTGGATGCCAATTCAGAATATAGTCATTATGACTGAGGAGCTCTTAACACCTTCTGCACTTGGTTAGTGGAGCTGAACCCATAGGAAAAGACACGGTACGGGAAAAATAGAGAAGTAGGTTTTTGCTTCTGCCAGTAATAGTGCAGATTGCTGGAAACCAGATGGGATTTGTCTCACGAGCATAAAGAATTGTCACTCATAGGCTGTGAGGATGCATCCCTCAACCCCCTGTAAAAAGCCCAACTCATTATGCCTTTATGGACATAACTGCCCTCTGAGCCTTGGGGAAAAACAGAAGAGAGGAACACCTACGCTCCTATCCTCAAAAATAATGTGGGTGCCAAAAAAGTGACTGATATTGTTACTGTTTTACTGTTAGTGGTAAATAACATCCTCTCTCTCTCTCTCAATTATTTTCCCTTGGTAAGTGATTGCCAGTTGTTGGATTGATCACGTTGCAGGCTGGTATGGCCATGCGGAGGATTTCAATATACTCTTCCTTACCTATGAAGACATGAAAAAGGTGAGGTCAATTATATCACTGCATTCAAGGTTTTATCTTCCCGTACAAATGTATTTTCAGATAGGTCTTTATAATTACACTTTATATTAGAAATTGCTTAGTCCCTCATGGTGTAGAATCAAATCAAGACGTGTGAGAGAATAAAGTCATATTTTTCTCTTTGGTGCAAGATTTTATCAACCACTAAAGAATTATTGGTTAGATCATCTTCTACTAGGACAAAAGTAATCTTCAGCACGACCTCAAAAAAAGAACTGAAATAGTACAGAACAATGCTTTTGTGAGTATCTTCAACACAAAAAACGTGCTCATAAGAACAGTTCTACTAAAGGAAACAAATGCTTAAGAGGCAGTTGCTAAGGCACTTGAGGAACTCTGAGATTGCTGACCAAATGTTCCCTGTTTGGTGTCTGTCCGTGCCTTTGTGCAATTTCTCCTTCCTCCTAGGAAGTGCTCCAAAAGGGCACTGCCACAGTGGGCTACAGCATCCCTAACTCGAGAGCTCAAGACATGCAAGTGAGACTATGCTCTCATAAAAAACATGGCCTCTTTTGAACCCAAATTCTTGCCCTTTTATGATCCTGTATTTAGTTCTTTGCATCATCAAGACCCTTCAAAGTAACATTATTGCAGGATCTCAGAAGTGCTGTGCTGAAGATCTGCAACTTCCTAGGCAAGAAGCTGAGTGAAGAGGAAATAGAAAGCGTTGTGAGACAGGCTACTTTTGAGAACATGAAGAAAGATCCCAGGGCAAACTACGAGAACCTGCCAGATGACATCGCAGACAAAAGCAAGGGTAGATTTCTACGAAAAGGTAAAATGGAAGCAGTCCAATGTAACAACTACCTAATTCCTCTTCTTGATACAAGATGTACCTAGGGCTTATGAACTTAACTAGAATGCCCCCATCATCAGAGGGACAGGTCAGGTTGGCCATGATTAAATTCATAAGAGCTGTTTTATTGTTAAGGCATCACTGATTTTACCACATTTTCCTAAGGATGATAAAACTTTCCCCCATCTCTCATTTGATCTCAAAGGAATCACTAAAAAACACAACCAGTGAGCTGAGTAACGTTATGAGGAGACAGGACTATATGCTGCGCTATATTCACATCACCTAGACTTGGAAGTCAGTCCTCCAAAGAGCACACTGGAGTCTCTCCCAGGGGGCCAGTAGCTGAGAGATGCTGAGGAAGCCAGGAAGAGCTTCGTGAGGATAGCGCTCGCTGTCAGCAGGCAGGCTTTCAGACAGGTGCATGTTCTGCTTCTCACCCCCCTTTGTTGCTTCTTTCCTCAGGCACCGTTGGGGACTGGAAAAATATGATGACAGTGGCGCAGAGTGAAAGGTTTGATGAAGTACTTAATGAGAAAATTAAGACCCTGCCCATCAAAATCACCTGGGATATTAACAGTGAAACGTAGGCTGGTTTTGACCCTCGTCATCCTATGGAGTTTACAGTCGATGGATGTACCTGAAGTTCTAGAATAACAAAATACATCAGTTTTCACCTGTGTTATAGAAATAATACTGTAGCATCTCATTCAGAAAACATGCCTTGTCTGAGAGCTATTCAATTTCATCAGTTTCCTCTTTGTAATTTTACAAGATACTTACAAGTTAATTTTCAAAGTAAACTGTGAGTTCCTTTCTTTGTGTTTGCTTTTATATTCACTGACTTTAACAATACCGAAGTTGTAGAAACCCAAGTGAAGATAGATTGGTGTTAAAGATAGTTTTAAATTGTATGGAAATGTTTCTACTTGTGAATTTCTCGAGGCTTCTTTTGGTAGACCTTTAAATGTCTGGACTGCAAATAAGATTGACTGTCTGTGCTATAGATCTGGTTTCATATATTTGAATTTATACTAGCTTGGTAAACTCAAATACCCAACCCTTAGCTATTAAACTGGCCTTTTTGTTGCATTTTCTGGTGTTGCCTGTTGACTGAAACACTTCATTGCATTGTCTGTTACAGTTCTTTGGGTCATGTTTCACAATTTGCTGCTTGGAGTTTTTGAGAAAAACACACACCATAATCACAGTGTTTTTTTAAGTGAATGCCCACTCTGTCCTACCTGATGATCTACTAGACCTATAGAGGTAAAAACCTGACAGAACCTGTGACTCCATTAACACACTATCAGGGTTTAATCTGTCCTTGATGCAACTCCATGCAGTGGCTTCCCCAAGGGCTTCCCATGAGAAGATGGCTACAGAGATGTATCTCAAGATTTTTTTCTACCAATAACTGAAAAAATATTTATGTCCACTCCACCACTCCTGACATGCACCCGGTCTGTGATATATTCACCTTTCTAGACAGCAATGTCATTTATGTAGCTTACAAAGGGAAGTCCATCTCCTGAATATTTATCAATTTTGTCCATTGAAATTGCTCACAAACTGTAGCTCCCCCCCTTCCCAAAGACACTGACAAGTCTCTGATATTCCTCCAGCATTTTTCCCCTCTGACACTCTTCTGTGTCTTTCACTATGGTCTTACTCAAGAGGTCAGAAGGAAGGATCACGATCTAAGGAAGAAACATTTTGTTCCATTTTTTTCTCTTTTCTTACTTATTTATTTATTTATTTATTTTTCCAGACACCAGCTGCACTCACTGCTCCCAAAGACCAGCTTGCTCTTCTCATTTTCAATCCATCTGCTTTAGCCTTCTCTCAGGTTCTACCTGCTTTTTGCTGGACAGAATTATTTCATGCACGGCATGCTCTTGGCGCCTTCAATTTGACATAGGTAACCTCATATCATTAGCTTACAAGAAGGTTTTTACGTACCCCCAGTGGTACAGTCAGATCATCTTTTCTTCTGGAACTTCACATCCCCAATACCAAGAAAACTTACAACAAAACTCCGTTATTTACAAAATTGCTACACCCCCTGGCATACAAGTTTGAGCTTCAGACATGGGGACTGGTGATTTTTTTCCACCTGTACATATTTACCCTGGCCACAGAAAACACAAATGAGTTCAAAAATGAGTTCAAAGTCAGAAGACTACTGTGGGCCTTCTGCTGAGTTTACCTTTAGTACAAATAAAGCTTGGTACAAGTTGGACCTTGATCTTTTTTTTTTTTTTCCCAGTGGTAGTCTATGCCAACAACACCAATCACAGAAATAAAAAGCCACTTACCCCTCATATTACCTACCAGCTACCTCTATCAGTTGGTAGATATCACTAGCATTTAGTGCTGAAAGGAAAATGAAATCCATGGTAATAAATGAACCTATGTGAAAGAATTAATCCTGTGTAGTCTCTTCCCTCTCTATGAATTGGAGCCCATTTGCTATGCACTGAAGTGCTAATAAGAAAATAAAAAAAGATTTTGCAATAAGAGAGCACAGTTATATGTCTGCTCTTTCTCTCAGGATGCAGGCTATCTGCAGGTTGGATCCAGAGTCTACCATCTGGTCCAAGAAACTTTGGACTTTGGCAACCACACAGTTAAAACTGAAGATACGTAGGACACATCTTATCCTGATGGTTAGAAGCAGAAAGTTGGAAGTTGAATCTCCTCAGGGAACTGTACTTGAAGCCCTGCCTTTTTGGCCAAAGCACTGACCTATTATTAAAATAGCAAATCAGAAGTATATGTTATTCCAAGGTCTTGTTTACCTCAAAGCCGGCAGCTGTCATTGCACTTTTGTATGAAGTCTTGTCTTTGCAGCTTGCCAGATGTGGCCTGAGATGGCATTCCTGCAGCATCTTGATCTAGTGGGCACCATCTTTTGAATTCTCCTAGAGCTCTGACATAAAGTTCAGCAGGATAAAACCTAGATTAGCTGTGGCCCCATAGTGCAGCACTGCAACCCATAATAGTTTCTCTACATGGATTACAGCGTAAATTTTTGACTTGCAGATTTAAAAGCAAGATACAGCCACAGTTGTCGGCATCACGAGTTTGAATTAGTAAAATTCCATCAGAGTTAATTGATGGGATTTTATTAGACTAATATGAATTAGAGTTCTGTTTAACTCAAAGCAAGTTTTGAGTAAATCATCAAAACTTCTTCCACAAAAAAAAAAAAAGCCACCTTTCAGTCCATGTCAGCAAACTAAATCACACAAACGTAGCTGAGCCCACACTCAGTCAAATTCCCTTTTATTTCACAGATGTTAATGGATAATAAAGTTAAACAAATCAAAAGCTCAGTCTATGAAATGTCTGTCAAAGACTTTGAGAAATGGACTTAAGCAATTCTTTTTTGTTATTTCAATCCTTAGTACCTCTGCTTGGAAACAAAAGATGCAAGTAACAATGAAAAATACATTTCTACATTTTAACTTGAGAGTTGTAACTTTAAACAACACATCCTCTGCGTAAAAAACAATAAAAATATTAATGTGAAAACAGAATAGAAAACCCCATTAATCTAGGAATACCATTAGCAAGAAACCCGTTTTTCTCACTTAGATAACTATTGTATCATCAGTGACTTAGAAAACTTTTTCAGATTACCACATTTTGCACAGATTACACAGTATTCTTGAATTCAGTCCAGATTTAAGGAGGACCAAATCATTGTTTTTATGAAAAATATCCTAGTTTTAAACATATAAACTGACAGTGGAAAGTAATTTTTTTATTTTTATTTTTTTTTTGAATGCAGCTGAAATGAGGCATAGCAGAAGAAAATCAAATTCAGTGTTGAACAGCATTTTAAAGTACACTAGCAATTGCACAGGAAGCTGGACACGGTCACTATGAAGCTTTCAATCCAACTGCATCTTTGGAAAAGTCAGATTTAACATCACATTAGCTTACAAGGGTTTTAAGCATATTTGGTCATGTCTGCTGGAACACAGATCCTGCTTATTGCTTTGAAACATACATCATCACTGAAACCTAGATGCTTCTCTGGAGTTCTTAGGTGCCAAAATTAAAAAGATCAAATAGAGGATGGTAGGAACAAAGGCACATGGTTAATTTATAAAAGCATTTATAGGGTACTTGAACATTTATTTCTGTCTACTAGAAACGCTTATTTATTCATCTTGAATAGAAAAAGACATGACTACTGAAACATGTTAGATCAGATCATCCTAAACAGATGTTCTCAAGTGGCGCGAGCAGGTGATCTTATATATCATTAAATTATTTCTGGAATGAAATCTCTCATCTTGCATACGGAATTTCTAAACCCTAAAGTTCAAAATTTCTTTATTCCTCTAACCACTGACACTTTAGTGCAATCCTCTTTTCAAAGGTTGAAGCTGGAGCAGTTAAGGCAATCTACCAGACGTGTTTTAAAATTCAGAAGTTTCTAATCAAGGTGCACGGTGGTTCTCTATTCAGAGAGCAGTTTCTTGAAACCTTCCATACCATCCTTCTAGCTGACGCAGTCTCAACCACAGCCTGTTTGAATACCACACTTCTTGTAGTTGGTTTTCTTTTTTGAAGATGCAAAGGGGGAAGGAGTCTACCATCAAGCTAGTAGCTCCATAAGCAACTCGTCTGAATCGTTAACAGTGTAACATCCCATCCACTAGTTGATGTGCACCTTTACTGTATGTTAAGACTTTTACTGGCTGCCAACAATATGCTTCTAAACCAACTCTCGTTACATTCAAACTTACATGCGCTCTGTAAATAACATTACTGTATTCTGCTGATAGTGTTTTCACAAACATTCTTTTTTTTTTTTTTTTTTTTTGGGGGGGGGGAAGGGAGGAACATGGATGTTTGTTAATGCACAAAAAAAAAAGGGCTTTGTAAAGCCTTTTCTAAACAAATCAAACAATGTTTTTTTAAGAGGACTGTATGGCTCAGATTTATTTTTCTTTCTTTTTTACTTTATTTTATTTATTTTATTTATTTTTCTACAAAGTTGAACTAGTCATTTTGAAACTATTTTCCTGAACTATGGCAAAAGATTTTACTTTAGTAAAATGGATATGGCTATGCCTTATTAGAAGTTGACTAGTGCTGCCAATCTGCAGCTGTTCAGCTAGTAAATTGGGACATCAGAACAAAACTGACCACTACTTGCAATGTGTGTAATAAAATTTCAAAGAAAAAAAAAACCTGCATAGTATGTGATCCCTTTTATTCACTAAACTTGCCCATGCATATCCTAGGTGGAAGATAGCAGAACAGCTGCTCAGCCTTTGAATGTAGATGTGTTTAGTGACTGCTATGACATCTTTCTGTCTTGCTTCTTGTACACATCTCTTCACAGGACACTCACAGAAGTGGAAAGGAAAAAAAAAAAAAAGAGAGAAAATAGAGTATTTTCAGACAGAACAATATGCCTCAATTTTTTCATTTGAAATATTAAAGTCAATTTATTTATAATGAAAGTCATCAGAAGACTGTTCTCCTGGATTTAAAATATTTTTTCTTTAAAAAAATAAAACCAATACACACTACTACAACCACAGATGCTGTGGCTTTTCTGCCTGCTTATCTCTCCTTACATAAGTCCATGCTGATGACAGAGCCAGTACAAAAAAATATCTAATCGCTATCTAAATTAACAGGGTTGTAGTCAGGGTCATCCTCTTCATCCTCCAACTCTAAATCATCCATTTCTTGGAATAAAGATTCATCAACCTCCACACTGTTTCCAGCTGCAAAGAACAGAAAAATAATTTATTTTTATGCAAGAAGAAAACAGTACCTGAACAACAAAATACACCATGCTTGTATATTCATTCTTTGTACATTCATTCTTTGAAAAGAACGGCACTGAACATTTGCTGTTTGTTTTTTTTTGTGTATTTTAATCCTCTTTCTCTTACATACTCAGTCTTAAGTTCTAAGTCTCCTCAGTCTTGCTTGAATTCTAATGTTGTTTTTTAAACCTTCTTGAATAAACTACGTTCAGTTTGTATTGCTTAATTCTTATGAAACCATTTTCCATATAATCCTTCCTATTACTATTTATTTCCATTAGTAATTATTATCACTAATTATACATACAAAAATAAAATGAATATTCCCATGTATTCTTAAGACAATTTTCCCAGAATTCCCCATATATATATAAAAATACACACAATAAGGAACATCAGAACATACAGAATTATTCTTTAAAAAGTATTTTCTCAGCAAGCAAATTTAAAAGGCAGACAATACTTTACACAGTCAGTAATATATAACAAATAATTTTTTTTTTAGATTTAAATTATAAAAGAAAGCTGAACCTTTACATGCTTTTATATTTTCTTCTGAAATGATTAAAAGTTAACACATTAATCCAACTCATTTAGGCATAGAGCCCAAATACAGAGGTGAAATCTGTTCCTCCTTTGAGACAGCAAAATGTTGTGTCAATAACCCAACTTCACTTTAAGCATTTTGGGAGGAAGGCAAGGTTAAATTATGCCCTCAAAGAAGAAGAAACAAATCCTCTGTGACTGCCATTTCAAGTTTATATTCAATGACATTCATGTACAACTTTTTTTTTTTATTATTATTAAGTTGTTACATTCACATAAAACTAGACTCTTCTGCCTGGGTGTTTCTTTTCAATGCCAAGAGATAATGCAGTTACATTAGAGGATTGCCCTAACTCAAGATCAGTCTTTTAAACTAGAACACTAAAAGGAGGTACAGCAAATTAAATAGATGGTATGTGACTGGGACTGGATTTGATTCATCTTCAACAGACTTGCAAGTTTTACGTCTTTGGGCATAGTCTTACAAAATATTCAGCTGGCACCAGAACATTATTTTCAGTAAGATAATAGACAAACCTACACAAAAGCACAAAGAAGAAATGTGTTGCACAGAGAACAGTAACATTTAATTTGATATACAAGATGTTCATTATTGGTGTTGAAGTTCAGGGAAAAGAAAATAGAACTTTAAGATGTGTGACTGAAATGGGGTCAAGAAGGCTGGCTAATAGAAAAAAAAAAAAAAACTTGAGCCACTGTCTTTCAGTGGTGGAAACAAACAGAAATTTACCTTCCTCCAAGAACTGGATGTCAGATGTGTCAAGGTTGTGATCCATTTCAAACAGCTGTTTCCCTATAAGTTAAAAATAAATAAATAAATAAATAAATATAATCAAGCAGAATTGTGAAATAAAAGCCTATGCTCTGTCCTTCCTGCATCAGTCCTCATCTTGCATTCCACAAGAAAACCTCTGTGGGAACTGGAGATAAGATGCCTTTTCCATCTTTTCAGATGGATAGGGCATAAAGGAAAAACAAGATGGATCTGTACATCAGTCACCAGCTCCTACATCTGCGAAAACATCACATCATACAAAGTAAAACCTTTCTAGTTGGGAGGTAGGGGAAGAAAAGGCCAAATCAGTAAACTGTCTGATGTAGAGCCTTTCTGTTGTTTAACAATACCCAACTATTTCTGCCAGAACAATGCTCAAAGTGGTATACCATCTGGCATAAAACCAAAGAAGCTTAAATGTGGTTTGGGAACATTAATGACTTCAGCAGAAATCTTGAACCAATCAGCTGTATTTAACCCAATACAACACACAAAAAGACTTCACAAAACATGAAGAACAATAATTTAATACTATTTTAAAAGTTTAGTTACTACTATTGTCTTTAAGTGTTAAGATTACTTTTAAGACTCGTCATGATATTCTGATAATATTGCAAAAGCTTCAGAACCAGCTTTATATCATACCGCTTAATTTATTTTTGCCTGCTTGTTCATCTTCTTTCATTTTTTTCCTTTTTATTTCTAGGAGTTCTGCATCAAACTTTGCTTTCCAGTTTAGGAAATTCTCAATTGTAACAGGAGTGCCATGAAAACGTTGCTAAAAAAAAAAAGAGCAGAAAATAAATCCGCAAATACCACCAACTAGCACAGCTAGGAGTGAAGATAAGCATTCTTTTCCTTATTTAAATTACAGCATCCCAGACACATCTGCTTGCTGTAAAGCATTCTGATAAAGTAATCCTAAACCCAAGCATATGCAAACACATTCTTACTGTTTTTTCATTTTATTTTATTTTGCATCACGGAACTCACCCTTCAGAGTGCTGCACGGAGGTAGTAATTATTATGGATAAATCCTAAGTACTATTTTTGACCTAAAGTAAGTGTAATGGTTAGCAAAATATCACTTATAGAGGTTATCCTTAAATAGGCAGCACTTCTTATCACCTCTTACGTGCAATCTAGACTGGAATTTTCTATAGAAATATAAATTTCTTTTTATATTTTTGGAGTTTTATATTTTTGTATTTTATTATATAAAATATAAATAATATTTTATAAAAATATTATTTTATGCAAAATATATTTTTGGAATCTATTAAAAAATACTCTTCTCTCTTGTTAACAGAGAAAAAGGGCTGTTTTGTGTTTTTTTTTTCCTGCCATTTTCAGAAATACTGAACCTTCCAAGTTCCATTTCCCTCTAGCTACAGAAGTAAGTGAAGACTTAAGTAGTTACCACAGCACATCCCATGGATGGAGAACTATTTCACAGTAGTTGGTAAAAAACGTGTAGGGAGGATAAACCATGTCCTGAAGACTGGTCCCACTGCTTCCACTCTACCTGCTCTGTCTACCAAGGATGAGACACCTCCTTAGACCAAGAGCAGCCTATGTGCAGCACAGCACATACTATCCTTTTTATTTTTATTTTTTAATTTTTTTTTTATTACCCACCCCCTCTTGCCTCTTCAAACAAGAAACTGGCTACAGTGTCTTTTGTTTTCAGGGAAAAATCCCTGCTCCAGCCTTAAGAAGTAATGCTAGAGGTGACTGTGAATGTGCAAAACACCTCTGGAAAGACTGCTTCAGAAAATGGTTGGATGGGGGAAATCACTCAAGTATCTTCTAGTCTGTAAGTTTTAATTACATCAACTTTGAGCTGCATTGAGAGGAACATCTAGCCCACAGCTGCTCCTGCATCAAACCCATGCATAAAAAAGGCAAACAAAAAAAAAAAGGAAAATCTTTAATAATTTTTTAGTTAGAAACAGTGTTTTACATACTTTTTCTTCTTCTTCTGCTTCTCTTTCTTTCTGTTTCTTCTCCTCTTCTCTTCGTGTTTTTATTTGATCCACTATTTCATTTAATTTCTCCTGTACTGCAGAGACTAGAGTGAAGATCATTACCATTCCTAAATTTTCTTCTGCCTACAACACAAAGAAGGCAATCTCAAACAGAAGGAGAACCTCATAGCTTCTGTAGCTTAATGCATGTATCTGTAAGGCAGACACGACTTGACAAGAATTACTGAATCAAAAAAAGAGAAGTGTTTCCTCCTCATACCTTCACAATGTACTCTCTCTAATGCCAAGGATTGAAGAGTATCTTGTCTACCCCAAAATAATTATGTTATTGAAAATAATTAAGGCAAAAGTATTTTTTTAATCTTTCCAAATAAAATAGAAGTGGCTTACTTCCAAAATTACCATACATACACAGTTACATGAATTCACTTTAAGACAGAAATGCCAAGAGGGAAAGCCCTATAGCCTATAGGGCTTATAGCCTATAGCACAATTTCATTGCACACTTCCATGTCATCTGTGCACACTGAATTAACCCTATATTTTACCTCTATAATGTCGTTTAACTTACTAGTGTTATTTACCAAATTCCAAGTTCAAAGTCAGTCCTTACAGTATGGAATATATTTCATCAGTAGGCCATCCGCTCAGAGAACAACTGACTTGAGCGATAAATTCTGGCTAAAATGAGAAGTGATATCAAGCTCAATCGAGGTATTCCATTTTCCTTACCTGTTGTTCTAACAGTTTTATTATGTCTGTGACATCATTATCTTCAAGATTCTCCTGGGAGACAATTTCATACAGTGGAGTTTCATCAGGATATTTTTCTCTATAGGTAAATTTAAGTGTTGTTTGGACAGCTACAAGACAAAAAAATGCAATTCTTATAGTGACTACTTTATGTAACTCTAATCATATGTTCTTCTGTTGCATCAGTAGCCTAAAGATTTCACAGTAGGAAAACAATCTTGTCTTAAAGGAACAGCCATCTTACACAGATATTAAAACTATATAAAAAGATTTAAATATAAGGCAAGAGTGGTGAGAAATGAAGACTGTGAAATTTACCCTTATAGAAACTAATCCAGGAAATTCATGCCTGAAAGGACTTTAGGAAGACTCAAAAACTTTCCGTGCAAGAGTGGGCATAGTAACGTCTTTTCCCCTACATCCCACTCACTGCTGGAGAAAACAAGGCTGAGTTGTAACAAACAGATTTAGACAAAACCTCAGCCCACTAATGCTTTAAATTCTGGATACCTGGTTGGAGTATCAACCACTGCATCAGGAAACAGGGTTCCACATGCCTACTATCACAAGAACACAAGTATCCAAAAGATGTTAATAAGCCAAGAGAAGAGCTTCCTAACGATCACACACTCAACCTGATGCCACCCAGAGCTAGGTTAACAAGGCAACAAGGCCAACAAAGAATCAAGTTCCTTCCTTTCGTGCATCCTGCCAGAACACCAGGGAGAAGCCTTCTTTCAGTTCAAGACTCGCAGTTCTGGCAGCCCAGTTTACATGCTTCAACACAGATGCCTGCTCCGCACAGGGAGTGCTCCTTTAAAACTGAAGGAGATGGCAGCCGCTCCTTCCTTCTAATACACCCCAAAATTCACTCACAGACACTTGCAGAGCTCAGCTGAGCACACCTGTGCTGGTAACAGAAATTTCAAATTCATGCACCCACCATCCTGAGAGCTAAAGCATTCTTGGATGTGCCGGAGTATTTTGGAGCACCATACAGCCTTTCCATACCAGAAGGGCACCAGATGCTGATGGCCCCAGCAGCAACATACTAAGAACAGAATAACTACAGTCAGCCCTTCTGTAAGAAGAATTTTGGACAGACAATTCACAGGATGATAAAGTTTAAGAGCTTTCTGTACACGCGGTGCCTTACTTTACAGTAGTTGAGAATGTTTTTCTTCCATCTTAAACATGACAACCCTATTCCGTCTTTCACATATATCTTCCTCTGGGTAAGCCATGGCTCTGACCTTCGTGGAAAGGAACCAATCCAGCAAATCAATCATAATGCATTTTTGAGGCTATCCTAAGTACAGTTTAATAACCCTAAATAGTTATTTCAGCTTTCAGAAACTGCTCCACAACAATAACTAAATCAACATTTTACAGCAACAATCATAAGCTACCCTGAAATGAATGAGCATGGGACAGAACAGCTGTTCTGGGGCCAGTATGGACAGTTCAGGCATTAGGTTTCTAACGCCATGTGAATGAAAAACTTCTCGTTTGATCTCCACAACTTTACAGTCTAGAGAGAAGGACATTATTTTTACCCAGCCCCTGGAAGAGAGCATCAAGGATTTCTACAGTAGCTTAATAAACGTAAGATACTTAAAGTGGAAGTAGACTTTGGAAAAGAGCAGACAGGTATATGGAAGCATAAGTTGAAAGTAGTTATATACACTAAAACTGAAACATGGTTGTAAACTTGTATGTTAATAACATAGGAGGGGAGACTATTATTTTGTAAGATGTGATCAACTTACTTTCGTCATTTTCACCTGCTTCAGACGTCACAGTGATTGTGAAAGTCGTTGGCTTTTCTGACAATACTGTTAAAAAAGAGTGGTAAAAAAAGAAAGATACCATAAATTAGACAACTACTTCACATCACTGAAATTGAATATCTCTAGGACTAATGAGGCATAGAAGCACCTGGTTACAGCATTCAGAGCCTTTTCAACCTATTAAGAAGCTCTTTTCAGTTAACAACTGTTTTCCTTAGGATAGTCTGAAGTGCTCTTTGACTGACAGCATATTACATCAACAATACCAAAAGGTTTCTCCATGAAAAGAAAGAGTGGAGATCTACCTACCACTAAATGACTTGTGACAGAGCACCAAGCATGTGCAGAAAGATCCCAAAACCAGTCTGCTGTATTGTGCTAGGTATGTACGGTAAGTATCCAGTGCATTTGTGGTCCTAGACTTTACAGCATATCTGTTCCTTCTATTGTATTCAGAACAGCTTAAAATAACAAATGTTTCTTAAAATAAAAAGATACACAATGGTACACAAAAAGATACACTTTCCTTCAAGAGCACAGGTTCTGGAAGTAGCCTAAAAGGAGAAGTTTTAAACAGTCAATACTAAAAATTAAATCCGTGAGCAGTCACGTTCACCTCCAAAGGCAAAGTATGGTCACTTTTAGTGCCCAGCTGGGAAGGAGGCTGCTAGAAGACAGACAACAAGCAGTTTTAAGCAGACAAAAATAAATAAATAAAGGGGGCAAGCTCTATAACCTACTGTCAAGGACTCGATGGCTTCACCCCATCACTCAAGCGTGAGTTGCAGACCAAATTCTTGAACAGGGGTTAGTCTGAATGACGGATATAACCTATAAACGATCTAGTAGACACGATTTGTTGACTGAATTTTACCTATCTGCCTATATATCGCTATCACAATCTTTTCATAATCCTTCCTCCTTTGGGTACAAGCGCGTTACTTGAGAGCACAGAAGCAAGAACGGGCAGGACATGGAAACACATCACAACAACTGACTCAGCACCCCCAGCAGCCAGAGACCGCCTCACGCAGCTTTAGCAGATAACCGCGGAGAACAGCAGCAGGTTTTCGGCTGAACTCCATAGAGAAGCGAGGCAGGGCAGGGCTGATGGCGAGCACGCAGCAAACCCTCAGCGACTCCCCGGCGCCCACTCCCGGCCCCGAGGCCCTCACAGAAGGAGCCGGCAGCGACACCCCGAGCTCCGCAGCGGCGGCTCGGGGCCGCCCGCGGCTCGGGCCGGGCGTGAGGCGCGGGGGGCGGCGCTCACCGGTGAAGGAGTCGGGGTAGATGGACTGCAGGGCCTCCACCTCGTTGCGCTGCTCCTCGCTGTAGTCGGTCATCGCCCGCCGCCGGCCGCCCGCCCGCCCCCCGCAAGCGCGCCTGCGCCGCCCCGCTCCGCACAGCGGCTGGGCAGGCCTGGCGCCGCCCCGCTCGGCCAGTGGATGGCTTTGGGCTTTTGGGGGATGTTCCCTTCATCAGGGAGGCTAATTAGCGCAATTAACGCTAACCTGAATGCCCGTGTTCTGGGGTGGGGACCCCCGCAGCTGGAGGCTGCCTGCAGGGCTGCAGAGCCTGCCAGGGCCGTGCTCCAGCCGTGTAGGGGCAGGCTGGCATCAGCACGACACGTAAAGCTCCTCCTTCAGAAGGGTGACCCCGTATTTTTATTTTATTTTTACGCTTTAGTTTAAAACAGGAGCTGGGAAACACGAAGGTTCACTTAAAAGTTACACTCCCACAACAAGTAAAAGGCTGACGGCTCACTTTGCTTATCCACAAATCCCGTATCATGTTACAGCAGCACCATAAAACAAGGGATAAAGTACAAAAATACACAAAATAAAGGTAGCAGCTTCATCCACCCCCAACCCACCCTTCATTTTAACTCCCAAGACAACATAGGATTTCGCAGAAACTTTCAGATACACGAATCAATTGCATGGCTCACAGACTGCACGTAGTTAAAACCACTCCAAGAAACCCAAAGAACTTGAAGTGAAATTAGCGATTGTGCTCACTAGCAGATACTTGGCTTCCCAAGCTTGTCATACAAGCCCTGGAGTACGATTACCAGAAAGTTTAGGATTCAAGTGAAATGCATACTTGTGAATTCATAAGAATTTGTTTAGTGATGTCAAATATGCATTATTCCAGCTATTCAGCATATACATCACTTGCATGCCCAGAAGTGCTTGCTTTTAGGATTTTAACTCTTAAAGGAAGACTATGCACACTTACCAAGGCCTGCTTTTTAACATACTCCTTGGCTTCCTGCATTTCATGATAGGAAGTGCTAAATAACTGTATTTCTCCAACTGAAAACTTGTCTTCCCCCCCCCCCCCCCCCCCCCAAACAGCAGATATCATCCTGTGATCTAGCATGTGGCTTTATAGCACACTCTGCTGGCAGCAAGGCAATACAGGAAGCGTTAGGAAAAACCTGTGTTGTCCATTTGTCCGTGCTTCTAGCCCGAAGCGCGTGCACAGGGAGCTAGAGGAGATATCAGTTAGTAACATCACATAACATGCAGAATTAAGATAAAAACTTCATTAGATCTTTTTTTTTTTTTTCCATTAAAAATCAATAGCTTTTAACCACAGTAATACTTATGGGCACAATAGAATGACTGAATTGTATTTTTTTTTTTAATTTTCCTCCCACAAACCTTACTCTAGAGTGAGATTTTCCCATCCTGATTTGCTATTTGTGTAGTAGGCTGGCACACAGGTGGAAGCTGACAGTTTTTGTAGTACATGCAAAAGATTTACTCTGCTATTGCTATTTCACACAGTGTCTTTTTTTTTTTTTTAAAAAAAAAAAGCTGCTATGTGCTGAACCCCTCCATCCAGTGCATCTTGGTGAGAATTTTATCATTTTTAGCAGAACTCAAAGTTCTCTTATCACTATATCTAGATTTAGCTTTTGTTGCTGAAGTTTCCCTATGTTTCTTCTGTACTGCTATATCCACAGATTTAATTTGTAGTTAGCTCAGTAAATTTAATCCACATAATATAAGAAAGAAGTGGAAGGGGAAAAATAAGGCATTTCTGCTAGGGGTCAGTAAGACAAAGCTGAGTATACACTTTTACTTTGCACAGAATGGATCAGGCTCATACAATTTAATTGCTCAGAATCTAAAAAAATACTTAAAAATTAATAGCTAATGGGTGGGAAGAAAAAAGCATTTGGGGATAACTTTCTTTCCCAATAAAACTCATCCTTTTTACAGAAGTGCTATAAGGCAATCTGGACGTAGACCATCACATCTCACAGGAGTTAGACGCCATCAGGAGATACCTATAAGCACCCAAAGGACTACAGTAACAAGGTATTATTACATAAAGCACATGAGCAAATCATGTCTCAGAAAGTTCTGCAGCCGCTCAGGTGTGAAGCTGAGCTAGACACATTCCTGCTTTTCTACAAAGTGTTGGTGGGGTTCAGACCCTCAGAACTAAGTGGCGGTCACAGGGTCTTCATCAAGCTTCAGGTATTTCCTGTCTACTGAACCCTTGAGCGCCCAGTCGTGGAGGAGGCTGTAGTCATAATGCTCCTCATCCACTAGTTTCAGGAAGGCCAGTCCAGAAATGGCTTGCCACTCTCTGAGAGATGGGATGCGGATTTCTCCTACATTTTCACTCCCTGGGACAAAGCCGAAAAACTTCCTTATGTGCTGTATGGCATAGAGCTTGGAGTGCTGGTCTGTCGCTTCATCAAAGAGCTCCTGCTCATTATGGACATAGCTGGTCCAGTATCTGAAGTGGAGGAAGCTGAGCGGGGAGAAACAGCTTGCCAGGCAGTAAGACAGGAAGACGGTGATGACTACCACAGCGATCAGAAGCCAGCCAGCCACCTTCCACAAACAAAGAAAAGCTGTTACAGATGAAAATACCCATAGCGGTCACTTCTGAGTGTTAAAAAGTCCGTAAGACAATCATTATTTGCTTTTCCTGAATGAGATGGCAGTAGTTGCTTGCTAGGTTTAGACCTTGTTAGCCATCATAACCAGTCCCCTGCCCACTGCAACCAGCCATGCAATACATTTATTCCCATCAAGTTTGAGGAAGTTCTGTTGTAGGGTATATTAAGGATGTAGCCTCTACAGCTATTATTGTGAGCCTGTAATAGAGAAGCCCTCTAATTCCTAGCCCAAATTATCTTAAACCCCTTTTAAAATCAATTTTCTTTGAAGTAACAACTTAATATTCCCTCTAGTATTTATCTCACGTGTAAGCTCCTAGAATTGAGTCTGATCTAAAAGAAGAAAAAAACACACAGAACTTAAACTTGGCTTATGTGGTGCTCTCTCAGTCCATTAGTCACATTGCTTATGTTCAAATCAAGAATCTTTCTGCCCTCCAGTGGCTCTCAGACTTCCATTGATCTTATTTGGAGGTACTTCTCAACATACAGGAATGCATCCTCCAGTAGCAGGTAGCAAATGGGACAGTTAGAAGTAATAATTTACATACTGAAAGTTTAATTACTCTTACTGGAACAAAGCAGGCTTCAAAACACAGATTTGGCACTCAAGGCAGAAGATATTGATCCTGTTTTATCCTCACACTTTCCCTGCTGAATTAACTCACTGATAAAATTAGATCTGCAGGCAACATCTCTCACAGCAGAAACATGAGTTACTTACTTGTGACTGGTATCGGAGTAGGAGAATCACTTCGTCTCTTGCCCGGCTCAGCTCTGGAGGAACTAACTGACTGCAAGGGAATGCAGCCAGAATCTTTTTGCGGTCACTAGCAGTAACATTAGGATTAGCTCCATAGTAATATACAGAGACATACTCGCTCATGGCACACACGTAGTAGGAGCCATTTATCAGGGTGACCGCTAGCCACGTTACAGGAGCAACCAGTGCCCTCCCGGTGATGCTGCACAGCACAAAGCAGGTCAGTTTGCATTGCAGCAGCTGGTTCTGCGTGCCCTCTGCCTGAAGGGGAGACCTTTTGCCCGTGACCAACCTCCAAGTCTGATTGTTCAGAGCATAGCCAACAACCAGAAGGATCAGTGCAGGAACACCTAGGAAGGCCAGCCCGTAGATGAGGTTCTGCCCCACGTGACAGGGACAGCTGAACGTAAAGAAAGAGAAGAGTTGCTGCCCACCGATTGTCAATATTGCAATTATAGCATTAGCAATAACAACTTCTTTGCCTTTTAGAAAAGCTGGCCACTTTGGAAGGAAAGTCATTTTTAGATCTTACACTTTACCAGATGCTTTTGCCTTAAATTAATAACAGTTTTTAATTGTAGTTAACTAACATTAGTAGCAGACTACACTGGAAACAAATCAATTCTAATAGCTCAAAATAAAACAGCCACAAAAAAAAAAAAACTGCTAGTTTTTCCCCTTCAACTAATTTTTAACTTTGCTCCTTAACAGTCAAAAGCTTGTTTACTAGCTTTATATCTACTTGCAGACATCCAGTCACATGCTTTAATTGATCCAGTAATTTCCCTCAGCAGTTCAGGAACATTCAGCATTTAAGCAATTGTGAGCTCTGCCAGCCCCTTGCTAATTGTCTAAAACCACCAGTCAGTCCTCCCTACCTTGTGAAGGTCATGCAATGCTAGTAAACTGATTGCTACCCTGCTAGGGGTAGTTGGCCAGCAATTTTCTAATCATTGGTAATTAGCAGAAGGATCGATGTAGGACTAGGGGAAAAAATGGAGAGAAATGTGGGGAAAAAGAATAAAAGGGATTGCTTTCACCTATTCTTTATTAAAAACAAAGCAAACAAGCACAGAGAAAAACAAGCCAAAGCAAAACAAAGAAATCCTTGTTGGGTGGATCAATGATAAAAAAAAAAAGTCTTTTTAAAATGCTTCAACATTAAGATAAAAATGGAAAGGATACTGTAAGCTGCACAAAGTTTGGAATCCCCATTCTGTTAACATTTAACATCAGTTCTGGTTCTATTTGCTTCCCCAGTTCTGGAGTCTGAGATGTGGTTAGCTGCTGGACCACGAGGATTTTGTTGTTTCACCTGCGGTTGGCAAGAAACCGGCATGTCTCATTTTATGACAGCATTGAACACTCCTTTAGGCTGTCTCCTTCAGAAAGATTTTCTGTGGTAATGTATAATTTGCTATTCATGTGGTGTCAAGCCAGCTTCAGATGTACTCATGATAACAGCTGGCATTTGTATAGCATGTTCACAATTCAGATTTTTAAGATTTTGTGTAGGTATTATCAACCCCTCTGTGGGCAGAGTAGATAGAAATTTTTTAGTTACGCATTCCAGAGCTGGTTTCTATACTAGGATGCATGAGCTGGGTTCTCGGTGCCTCTCACAAATCAAGCCTTATTCAGAGGTTAGTTTAAAACATTTAATTCCTGGTGATTTTGTCCAGATTGCACTTTGTTTAAAGTCATGCCATCCGGTAGTTCTGTCCACTATACACTCCTGTCCGAT